CGTTTTGCTTAATAACTTCTGTGTTAAAATTTTCAGCATATGATCTACATATTCTATTGGAGCTATTGTCAGCTTAGTAAAAATGCATACTCCTTCACATATTGTCTATATTTGCAACTGAACTTTAATATATAGAATTTGAGCAAATTTGGAGCTGGTATCTAAAATTAAACAAAAATCAGAATTATATAAAATATACATGCAAAACTAGGAGATTAACTTCAAATACTTACGGGATATGATTTAACAGAATTTCAGTGCATTTGATCGTTAATAATAAAACGAAGATATATCGATTATTTGAAATAAATAATTTTTTAATAACCAATTCGGAATATACAAAATTAAGTGCTTTTCATACCATTTACTTAATTCAAAATTCCAAGACATGCGAAAATTCAAAATGATAAGAATGCAACAGAAAATGCAACTTAGAAATGCTCAAAATGTAAATGCTACACTCGTCTTTCTTAAGGATATAACGCATGAATTTCTGCACAGCAATAAGGATATTTAAGAAAACTTCAAATGCCGAAAGCTTGCAATGCATATCGAAACTATTCATATATTTGTTTTCATTCTGAACTTTATATGAAATGTATATTTTTGTATTAACAGCTCAATATTCATTTCTGAATATACTTCATGACTCATACAATTGTTCTTCAAAGATATATAACACCAATATTTCTTCACAGCAAAATGATTCCAACTTCAAAAACTATTTAACGACCTTAATCAAAACTATTAATATTTAACTTACAATTATATACACATTTTTTAAACATGTTAACAGCCCAAAACGCATTTCAATATTTATAATTTATTACACATCTGATTGTTCCAAAACAATATAAAACGTTTTTTGTTTATGTTCAAATATTTTTTGTTTTTTTTTAGCCTTACAATTCTTTCCTCACAAACACTGGACTATTTATTAATAGCTAAATGTTTTGACATTTCTATTTTTTCGCTAAACCAACTTTTCAAATGCGAATCATTTGAATCATGCAGTTTATTAATGATCATCTCGTTTTCTGATACAGTAATAATGAAATGACACGGAAATTCTATTTTTTAAATATTTGATTTATACAACAAAAATGTCATGGATATACAAAAAACTCATTCGGCAGTTTTTTCTCACCTGTGACCACACAACTTTCATTGCATTTTTATTTGTTTTTCTCACTTGAAACACTGTCTTTAACTAACTCTTCTTAGATAACTGATCTTATCTTTACATTTGATCAGTCAATTACACTTATGTATATGGAACCCTTTAGCAAAACATTCGAATATTCTGGTTATTTATTTACTTAATTGACTTTTGTATTCCCTATTCCTGTTCCTGATATATATATGTATATAGCAGTATATATGTATGCTGTTCCACTTGCCTCTCTCCTCCCACGTTGTACAACTTCTGAGATGCATCTGATTTTCGGGTGAGGTTTTATGATGCAATTCTCTGTCCCATCCCCAACACTGAAATAAAAGAAATCCCCCTTTTTGGTATTGAAACCACAAAAAAAACCTCACCCACCAAATATATGAACAAAGAGATAAAAAAAATATTCAATATGGCAACGTTGACAAACTGGAAGTCTGAAACTGGGACGTCACTACTAAAGAGAAGACGGAGATTGATGCAGAGGAACTGGAAGGCAGCGCTTCTTTAGAAACCCGGGTCAAGCGACTGCTCTCTATCAAACCACAGATTCTGCTCCTGCTTGAAGAGGTCTTCCCAATTGATGTGGACATCTGAACTGAACTGAACTGAAGTAAAATGTAGCTATAGATTTAATAGTTATTAGTTTAAGTGAATTATAGTTAAATAAAACTTTTGATGCTGCCTCAAACATAATATTTAGATTAAAATTTCATTCAATTCATTGTTTTATATTATACTTAAAAAATTTTGTAACTAAGATTTAATTTTATAGATTTGCGTTTATCCACACAGTTTCTAATGAGCTGTCAAATAATATATATTTAAAAATAATATGTATTAAATAAAATAAGCATTTATCGCCTAAAATCGAATCGACTTGATTATTTAAATTCCAGTTATAAACAACATTTGCTCTTATATTTGTAATTAGTTTGTATTTTTATTTATATTTGCTTAAAAAAAGTGAAACAATTAATTTATAAACATAGGACTCGAAAACATTATTGACAAAAAATTGCAGAATTATTTTCACACACATTCAACTAAATTAATTTTTCTGTTTTGTTGTCAGTTTGCGTTTTGCTTTTAAAGTAGACAATTAAAATGATTTATAAAATCGCTTTCCGAATATATATACATATATATATATATTCACATATATAAAAATCACTTATGTCTAAATGCTTTAGCGTTCACATTCAAATTGGGGGCGGAGAGTCCACGTGTGCCTGCAAAATGGATGTGGGCGTGGCCTCATACACACGAATAAATCTTGGGATAAAAATTCAAGCATTTGCATTTAACTATTTACAAAAATATGAATTGCATTATTAATTTATATAATATTTAGTTTTCGTTTTTGGTTTGTTTTTTTTTTTTTTTGTAAGAAACATTGAATACATTTGTGGGAGACTTTGATGGTAGCACGTTAAAAAATTAAGAGAACAAAGAGCCATTGGCTGGACTTATTGGACCACATGTGAATTGCTTAAACAATGTTCTGAAAGGTGTTTTAGCTTAACAATTGCAACATAAAAAGCAGAGAAGCGTTAGAATAAACTGAGACGTTATTTAGGATGATAAAGAAGAGTGCGCTAGTGCGGAAGGTCCGACTAGGCGATAGCTAGAATACTGAATTGGGTCTAGAATTTGAAAATGTTTTCCTAAATAACTTCGATGGTTATTGCGACCTGAACACATGGGCACTTTTCTTGGGTACTCAAAAGGTAATCGATTGGAAATTTGTGCTTACTGAGAACTTAGACCTATTCAGATTTTAGTAGATCCGACAGTTTTCGAGTTATGGAAGAAAAACTGCCACAAAAATCTATTTTTGACGATACCAAAGGGTTGCGAATTGCATAATTTATAATTTTCAATTCTTTAGACAAACGGACATTGATCAATTTAGCACATTGTAGTGTTCAAGTATATGTATTTTTGTCGCTATTTTAATCGAATTCAGGGCATAAAAGGAGGATTATTCATGTTTAAAATGCATTCGTATTCTTGTTTTTTTTTGGTTTTTGTATCTTTAATTGTTTAGTGTGTTTTTATGTTTACTTAGTAAAAGCTGACAACAAATTTGAAATTTACTTATTTGATAGGTACACTCAAAAATATGTATGTTATGTTAGTGTTAGCTGCTGTTGTCTTTCTTTTGGCGCTCTTTATAACCATTATACGATATTGCTATTTATTGATTTGTCTTGTCCTGGGAGGTGTGTCGACGCCCTATAAGTGATGTTCCGAGCGCCTCTCCTAGCTATTGCATAAGTGAGTGAGGGGGAGTGAGTGTTGTCTTAAACTGTTGCTGACTGCTGTCATTTTGTTGCATAGTATGTCCGTTGTTATATATATTAAATATATCGTAGTACTTATAAAGTAACCCTTATACAGTTAGCCCACTCTGTAACGCACCTAACACTCCCAGCGTTTCGCCTAATGTCTATATATAGTATGTAGTTCATATATCATTTGCTCAAATACTTCTTTTAGCTAACTAGCAATTAGTTACATATTTCGATTTTTGTGTGGAATCAATTCGCATAACATTCGCTATATATACATGGGTTTCTCGTTTTCATTTGATGGGAGGGGGCCTTACAAAATTTTGACTAGTTCTTTATGCAAGCGCCTGGAAGAGGCCTTCGAATTGTTAGTTATAAAAATCACTAGGATTTTTCATTTTAGGACAAAAATGTGTCTTGTTTTGTTTTGTTTTCTTCGCTTTTAACTCTATGTAATCGAGGGAAATGCTAGTTTCTGAAATCCTTTGGATGCACTCTATAATTAGGCTTATCTCCAATGTCTGTCTGTCTGCCAGTTCTTTTACAGTTGTGTTTGTTTATTCTAGACCTATATCACCGCTTAATTGCCTTAAACACTCTAATTATTTTTAGCATTTCTTGCTGATTCATTGTTGTCTCGTCCTTTGCGTCTTTGTGTTTGTTTCCTTTTAGATTGATTGATTATGAACGTGTGAGTGCCAGCTACTTAATAAAGTTCAAAGTTCATGCAACTCTGCGATTTCTTATGCCTGCAGCTATAATCATGAATCATACAATATATATATATATATATATATATATATATATATATATATATATATTAGTCTATATGTATGTATTATATGCTTAGTTTTGCAAGGTATTAATTATGTATGTATGAAACCAATGTGATCCTATGCAAAATTGTATTATATATATATTATATATATGGATTTAGTTTAGGTATGCTTATTGTGAACTATTTTGCACTGTACAACAAAATATGTTTTCCTTTTCTTTTTTCTCTTTTTTGTTTTGTACAATTTGAAAACTAATTTAAACTTTTACATACATTTACGTAGTGGCTAGAAAATTGTGTTTAATTTCTTCTTCACTTAGTTGTTAGATGTGTTTGTGTGTGTATTGTGTACTTTAGTTATAGGAAACGTTTTTATTTTTTGGAAATGATATAGAAAAATAAATGCAGAGAACACTATTTAGCATACAGAACTTTAAGCTTTCAGCTTCTATTCGTATATGTAGTTATTTTTGCATTACATTTAATTTACTTTGTTTCGTTTTTAAATTAATAGCAATTGTTTTTTGCATATGATTTCATATTTATTTAAATATTAGCATTCAGGCGCGTTTTACTAGGCCTAAACAGCGCTTGCTCTAAGGCTTTATTGCAAACCATTTAATTTGTCATTAATTTTAAATTTGGTTATATATATTCATATATATGATTTGAATATAAAGCACTTAAAATTAAACAAAACAAGATAGTTTCAATTTAATTATGAATAATAAAAAACAATTAACTTATATACAGCAAAAGATATTCTGAATTGTTTACGTTCGCGTAGGCCTTACATATACAATATGCAATGTACAATTAGTCTTAAGTGTGTGTCTTGTATACATGTTTCATCAGATTGTGAATCGGTAGGGTTAGTGTGCCGATCCTTGGCCTAACCCATTTATCAAATTGTAGAAGTTGTGACATCCCAGGAACGCTGGCCACGTCAACATGGCCAGCAGCAGCAGCCAGTTAGCCAACTGAGCTGAAGAGCTGGCACTGGAGCCCGTCTCACCACATTTACCTGAAAATTAGAAAGCCAAAATGAGAATTGAATAACATATGAATACAAATACTATACTTCAAATTATAAATGTAGGAAAGCTTTTAACCATTGAATACTTCAAGTGGTTGAATAAGTTAAGTTTGCCTAAATAACTCAGAGCTTTTTTCACTAATTTTCTTATAGATAAATGTTTTTATATAAATAGCACAAACCAAAAAAGGATAGATTGGCCACCAGATGATGATCGGGAGGCTTTTGAGTGCCACGATAGCAGGCATCGCCCACGACCAGTTTAGCTGCATTGCCCTCCGAGGGCCTGTAGCTGATACAGACGCCATGTTTTGTGCCCTTATGCCTGGCGATAATGTAGACCGTACTGTTCTCGCTCCAAGAACCGTGACAGGAGTACTCTGCGTTAATGGAGAACAGATTAGATTGGATGCATCCATTGCATTTTAAGGAACTCGCTCGCTTACCCTCCTCACCATCCAGGCTGCACAGTGGACTCACATCGATGACGTTGGGTGCCGTGCAGCCCACCCAAAGTTGTCGCTGGGCATTGTAGTTGGTTACACAACCGGGAACATCTCGTCGACTGCGTGTTGCTATGAAACCTACGCTGGTATCGTTGGAGCTGCTGAGAACCAAAACCTGCTGCAAACGATCCGGGGACTCCTGCTGCTGGGCTGGCCTCGGCTCTGCAGCATTGCGTCGACTACGCGCGGGCAGGCCCCGTGTGTTGGCATGCCAGGAGCCACGCTCCATGCGCTCGGCATTGCGGAAGCTGAGTGTGCTGTGCCTGCCACACAACACAAATAAACAAAGCACAAATTGAGCTGTAGTAGAGATTCTTCTCGTTCTCGTTGATGCCGTGCAAACATACCCCTTGTGGCCAAAAGAGCCGGCGTCCAGACCCTCGTTCTGATGATGATGATGACCATGCCCAAGATGCGATTTGCCATTGTGATTGCGCTTGTGGCGCGTGACCAGGTACGGTGGTCCAATTGCCCCGCGCAGATTGTACAGGCCCTCCATAGGGCAAATATGCGGTTCCGGATTGCTAGCTGTGAGCGGGATTTTAAAAAAGGAGCATCGTTTTCATGAGTTTAAGTCAAAGATACCCTATAAACCAGTTATTGTTTACGGTTATACTTTATATTTGGTCATGTACCAAAAATGAAGGCTATAATCACGTATATTTCTTAAGTGTCTCTAATTGTCTCTAGCTCTGATGAGTTGTGAGATATATTAAGAATATACATAGATAATAGCAATAAATCGATTTTGAGGTCGCACATACTATAAAAGTAATGAATCGCTCTACAAGAGACTGTTTGTCATATACATATACCCCATTGAGTTCACTGTGGCTACAGGGTATGGTAGGTATGCGCAGCACACAAACAGAGTGCACACAAACTTACCCAGCAGCGTTATGTAGGCCATCTTATTGAAGTCAAAGTGATCCGGAGCACAGGCATCCTCCAGACGAATGGCCGGCTTGCCCGTTTGTATCTCAATGACGTGCGTGTCCCGGCGGTAGAACATCATGCACATAAAGCCTGATTGGCTGTAAAGTCGAAGGTAAGGCGGGGTAGGGGAATGAGACAACAGAGTTACGGCGGTTTTTTTGTTCTTTGGCTTACCAGCCGGTGGTGTAGTGCACCACAGCCATCATTTCGGTTGAGGTCTGTTTGTTTATCTGCTCACAGAGGGCACGTGTCTCCATGTAGCCGTTGGGCTTAATAATGTGCACGGAGCCATCGCTGTAAAGAAAATTGGAAACGTTTTATTGGCTGTGATGCGTTGCCTTCGGCGTCGTTGTTGCCACTCACTTGGAATGATAATTGTAGACAGCATTCCCCATAAGTGCATGCCAGTGTCGTGGACCCTTGAACCAGGCAGGAAAATCGCAGCGCTCCGCCGCCGGCGGTTTGCGCAGCGACATTATTCGCGAGCCAACCTGACAGGGAGAGTGAAGAAGGGGATTTGAATGTTGACACTTTGAATGGGGTTTGACTCACTTACCTCGGCGCTGTCTAAGCCATTGCAAGTGGCGTCGCCGGATTGTGCCAGCTTATACTCGGCATCCTTCGAGCTGAGCATGCTTGGGCCACCTGCAAGGGTTATCAAACAAAAATGGATGCTCTAGAACAATTTTCCAGCTGTTTGTTTGGCGATTTTCTTACCCATCAGCGAGGAGATTTTCTCGTAAACAAAGCAACGATAACGCTCCTCATTCGAAATGGCATGGTGATGCGAGACAAGACCCACCAAATACCGTGAGTTCCCGTCCTTCCATGTGGCCAGACAGGTAAGCTCCTCAACTGAAAAAGTTTTCGCAATTTAAGTTTTATTAAAGAAAGTATACAACATCTGTATCTACTCAATGCTTCGTAGCTATTCTTAGTTGCAATACGTTTCTGTCTCTCGACATTAGAGTTGAATGAGCAATACTCATTTAGCAGAACAATCCGCTCATTAAAGAGCTCTTACTAAGTTCTGTTGAATCAGCTACAATGTGCACTTACCCGTACTCTCTGTGCCCTGGACATCGGGACAGGCCTGAAAACTTAATAGCAGGCGACTCTCCTCGGTGCAGCTCTCAATGTTCGAGACGGGGGACTTGCATTCCCCATGGCCGCGATTGTAAGTGAATATAAAGGGACCTGCAGAAGGGAAGTAAGATAATGATAATGACGAAGATGATGATGATGATAAAGCATTGCATTGAGATAAACGAAAGTTGGAACTCACCCTTTAGTGGGCACTTGACCGGTTCAGCGCTCTCACGGAACAGCGAATAAAGCAGAGCATCGCCCGGTATTTGATCGCAGAGATTCTGTAAAGTCTCACGGCCCTTGCAATGGTCTGGGGGACATGATTATTTGAAAAGCACACATAGGAATACAATTAATGCAAATCGCTAAACAAGTTGAAGAACGAATAAACACACACAAACACAAAGAAAGGCGAAAGAAACAAGTCGAAATCGGGATTGGGGAATATGTAAGTAGTTTGGATGGATTTAGTAGAATAGCAAAAGTATAGTCAGATAGTCAGATATATATTTAGTTAGTTAGAAAAAGAGTTAGAGTTAGAGAGAGAGAGAGAGAGAAGCAACACATTTAGGTGAATCGATTTTGTTTTATAGGGTATCAAATGATAAAAACAATGCTACAAAGTTCTAAAAAGGTTTCTTCAAATCAATAACGTGTAGCGCACTGGAAGCTGTCATTGCCCTGCCCATGATTCAAGTCAGCGTGTAGAATATCAATTAAATTTTCCAGATCTCTGTATAATGGTACTTGAATTTACAGTCGAAACTTGGGAGAGGGTCAGCTGCGAGTGCGCCACAACGTGAAACAGCAACAATTTCTGTTGAAATGTGTGTTGACAAATTGAAATGAGAGACTTAAGCAAATTAAGCATACTGAAGTTTTTTTCTCTTTCAGCTGAAACAATGCCAAGGAATTGGTTATAGCATTGCTGAACTGGATGTATAAAAAAGTTAACTAAAGAACACAGCACTTGAAAGTATTAATAAGTTGTAATATAATATTATATTTATCGAAAAGAAAGGAAAATAAAGAACACATAGTCCTTTCCGGCTCTCAACACAAAATTGAAAGTTCAATTGACAAGACCAAAAAAACGATTTTTTTGTTGCTAGATCAAGCAGAATAAAAAAGAAAAAATATATGTAAATTTTTCAATATATTAATTTAGTATAAATACTCGTATGCTAAGGAAATTAATAAATGTTGAGTATTTTGTTTTGCAGTTTGGCAAATATATATATTCGTAGTTGAGTTTATTTTTTTTTTTTGGTATAGGGTCCTCTCTTTTTAGCAATATTGGAGTGTTTTTAACGCTTATATACGTTATGCTTATAATGATAATAATAATAACAATAACAATAACAATAATAATAATAATTATAATTATAATTATATATTTATATATGGTTAGGCAACCAACAAACAGGCAGAGTTGTAAATACATCTAAAAGGCAAAAGCCTTTGGGTAAAAGCTCTAAAATGAAATGTTTTAAACAAGCACACGCAGAGCAGTGTTGGTAAACGAAATTCAACAAAAGTTATGTACAAATGCAGGACACATGTGTGTGTGTAGGTGTCTGTGTGTGTGTGTCTGTGTGTGTGGGCCAGCTCTTATGGCCTTTGAGTAATGATTGTAATTAAGTAGCAACTAGAGTTGATGAAAAGCATAACGGTATAACAAGCTAACGGTATACGTTTTGGGTGTGGTGTGGTGTGTCTGTGTGTGTTGGATAGTGTGGCAGAAACAACTACGACAGCGAAGCTTTATATATATACATATATATATATATATATATATATATATATCATGACCAGGCAAAAATTACAACAGCACAGACATTAAAAATAATCTACTTTTTCTTTTTGTTGTTAGGTTTTAATATCTTTTATTCGGACACACACATACACACAGAGAGAGCGAGAGATACTCATATGTAAAGTGTAATATTTATATAGCTGAACTATGATACGGACTTTGTAGTAAGTAGCCCATTGTAGCACACACAAACGCACACACACAGATACAGGGACAAACACACAACATTTAGTACGAAACGGAATGAAAAATGACACACATCTATGAAATGGAAATGGAACATTATGAAATGGAACCGAGAGCAGAAATTGTTGAGTTTCATGTTTAAATTACATTAATTAAATGACAAACACACATAAACAAATAAAGGCATAATGTAAATGTATTGGTAACACAGTAACAACTAACTAAAAGGTACAAACACGTACACACATATTATTTAATTAAAAACGGAAACAACAACACGGTTGGGTGGGATGGGGTGGTTAGGTTAGGGGTTAAGGATAAAGTGTGTAAACTCATAGAGCGAATAGAAGTAGAAATAGTAGTTGTAGAAGTAGTAGTAGTAGTACAAATAGTAGTAGGGTAATTAGTGAAATAGTAGTAGGTATTGTTTAGGTTAGGTTAGGTTAGAATGTAGTAAGAAGAAAGTACAACAAGTAATTGGATAAATGAGAGACAATTATACTAGCGGTCACCGGGCAGCCCATCCCAACATTTTTTTATCATCATGTACAATATGTTTACAAAATATATATATATAAATATATAAATTGCTATATTTTTTATTTTAAATTTTTCTTTGGCAAAAAATTGTATTTTTTTTAATTTTGCTGAAATCCTTGAATTTTTAAATGACAAAACAAAGTATAATTAAAATTAAATTGGATGGAGAGTTTTTGCTTTATTTTTTTTTTAAATCAAAAGCAAAAAAAGTTGGAGTTTTTTTTTATTTTGTGTGTGGGAAACTGGGAGGCGGACAAACGTATAAAAGATGACAAAGAAGAAGAAACCCGAGTTGTTTTGATAATTGTTTATGACACAGGCTATATGATTTCCGACTTGAGAATATTATAGAAAAAGAAAATCGAGGAATTCATGTATATGTACAAAAATGCTAAAGCTTCAGCTTCAGCTCCATAAAATCGGATAAACAATAGAAAATTTACAATATTTAATTACTATACATCATGCATATCGGAAATCATATTTCAGTTTCGATCCGAGCCGAAACTAGGCGAAAATAAAAAATTTCACTCGCTCGGTTGAAGAAGAACTGTACAAAAATTGAGGCGATGATGATTTATTTATTTTTTTCGGTTTTTTGATTTTTCTTTTTTGGTTAGCAGTGGATTAATATAAAAAACATTAATAATTATAATCATGTACAAAGAGTTATTTTTAGTATTATTATTATCGAAAAGAAGACGAACGAAAGGAAAATTATGAATAAATCGAAGCACTTCAATTGGTGACAACAAACAACAATCAAATAATTTCAAATCAAAAGTTCAACGAAAATAATAAACAATACACAATTAATATTTATATAACTGTACAAGAGATATTGGAGGAAGGAGTTTTATTTACAGCGTGTGTTGTTGTTGTTGTTGTTATTGTTTTTGTATTTGTTAAGTGATTGTAAATATCCTTAGAATTCATTATAGTACACAATTGATTTATGCGAAATTCTTCTGTACAATCCTCGACTTTTGTCAAGGAAAAACATACCAAAAAAATTATAATAAAAACGAAATTGGAACGTATAACAAATTAAGATGAATGAGGTTTATGGCACGACTTGTCTATATACATCTATATATATATAGCCTAACGGAACCGAGTGACAACAAATTAATAGAAGGGAAAGAAACAGGAAAACCAAATTGAATGAATGAGCACATAAAATATTGCATAAATAAATGAAATGAATTGAAATGAAATGGCTATGTGAAAATATATATAAACATGAATATATATATATATATGTATATGTATATACATAAATTCACATATACAACTGCGCCAACAAACACAACAGTAGAAAGGGGGCGTGGCAGCAGTAAGAGACACGCGAAATTGTTTCGACACCCCGGTCGCAAAACACGCGACTCGCCGGGACACGTCTACAGCCCCTGTCCTACACTAGCCTAGGTAAATACGAAATACCCATTTTTTTATGCTCCACACATATATATATAAATATAATATATATGCTGTGCGAAAACTGTACCAACACACGCAGCCCTAGGGGACGGGAGTTGTTTCGTATTAAAATGCCCAAAAACTATATAAAACAACAAAAAGCAGTACTTCAGGGGAGCATGCCAGACTACCAGATGCCCTGCAGCCGTAACACACACTTGCACATAATGAAATAACTGTATCATAGGACTTCACGGACTTGGCCTTTAAGGACCACACATCCATCCTTCTGCCTTTAAAAACCAATATACCCACTTTGGTGGCAACTCGAATGGAATGAGCATACGTATAATAAAATAAAATTGGCTGTTGTCCTGACCTGTGTGTTGCTTGCTACTGTGGCTAACAAATTACCCAGTCAACGTACCAAAAGCAGGTTGTGCCAAGCACACACACACACACCTGCACGCCCCCACACACACACACACTCTGATGTGCGTACTGTTGTTGTTGTTGTGTTGTAAAAGGCAGGGTAAACATTTTTACAGACATTTGATTAAATTTAAATATTCTCACACGGAAATTGCCTAAAGCTGCTTACGTTACGTGTTTAAATGCCAAACTACGTAAAAAATACATGAGCAGTACCAAAGAATGTACGAAGGAAAAATTCCTCTATTGTTATATCACTCATATTTATAACTGTCTATTCGCTTGCACCTTATACATATATTTCCAAGGTCTACTTTTCGTATTATCATAGACAAATATCTATATAAATATTAATAACTATGTTAAATACTTGTAAGAACCCATAGGAAGGTAGTCAGCAGGTGATGAGAGAGGTGAAATGAAGAACTATATACAAAATTTGAAGTGTACAAAGCTTGGACTATATATTTTAAGAAATAAGAACGTTTATTCCTATAGCTTATCATGTTCTACGAATATAGCTTATAATAGCCCATGAATCTGAGCTTTAAAACTGAGAAATCCTACAGCATAAATAGCATAAGAATATCACAGACAAGTCTACATCCGTAAAGTTCTATATCTATGCCGACTCAAGGATATTTATAACTATAAAAGCTCTGTGAGCTCATTAAAGATCAGATGCAAAGAACTCAACCAAGTTAGGTCAAGAAGCGAAAAGCAGAAATCTAAAAATTTGACTTGAAAACAAAAGTGAACGAAATGCGAACGATGAGCGCAAAATACGAAATGTTCAGGTAGACACCAGCAAGGTGAAAAGCGCGCCGGACCGGGGCGGGCTGCATTGGGGTTTTGAGGGGCTGTCGGCGTTGGCGCAGTTTTGCGCTTAATTATTTTAATTATTTTTTATGCTGCCTACATTTGTGCACTCGTCTCCGACTCTCAGAGCGCTGCATAGCAATTAAAATGTGGTCTCAGTCCCCCATTCGCCCCGCCTAGAATGTCCTTCATTGAATGCCCGCAGTGCCAGGCACTTGCAAAACCTGAGTGGTATCATGGAATTGGTATGCAAATAGTACAAAATACCCATAGCTGCCACGCAAGATGCTGCTAAATGGATCCTCACAAAAATGTGAAAGAAAAAACATTCAAATAATTATGCGAGAAACCAAGCAAAAAGGGCCCTTCGGAGGTTGCCTTTTAGAGGGTGGGTCTCTTCGAAGGGGTTGGCGTTAGCTCGTGGCCCTGAGTATTGAGGTGTATCTAAAATCTAGTAAATAATTGACTACAGCTAATGATAGGTTCACATTTCGCTTGCAAATTCACAAAACTAAATAGAAGAGGATAACATAATATTGGCATGGACTGTGAATGGAACTATATTATTGTCTTGGCCAGTTTGAAAAGGTGAAAGCATTTAAGAATATCGAAGTAATTCTTTGAGGTCTTTTTGTTATATCTCATTGATAGTTTTCCATGATAACCGCAATTTAGATAAATATAGTCAATTATATATAGCTTATAATATATTATAATATAAATATATATTATATTAGTACCTTTAATTCGACCAGTGTTTTTATTTCTGACTCACATTCCATATATTTTCATCTTATTGAAATTTAGCTCAAGTTATATTTCCAACAAAAACAAATCCTATTGTTTAGTCCTCATTAAATTGTATTAAATTAATGGAGGAGGGATAATGAATAAAAGCCTCTCATTGAGCTCCTCTGAGCCCCCACTTTAAGTAATTTGCTTAGTCCTTTGATATTTGAAGCTTCCTTTTATTAGAAATAACTGAATAACTAAACAAGTGAGTTAATTTGAATGAAAATTCGTATGCTCGTTACGTGAAAAGGGTATATAGGTTTTGTAAATGTAGGCAAAGCTTTACGCCTCTATTGAAGCCATATATTTTGAAATATATCATAACAAAGTTATCAAGTTATCAGAACTATATCTTCCACAGAGAGTTAGGGTCGTACGTTTAGTAAGTGGATCACTATTCCTATAACTTATACGGTCTGCCTATTTGGCAAAGCTAATTGGAAAATATTAAGTTGTAATAAATCCAACTGTATTTGGAGCGTGAACGAGTATTACGCAATCGGTTTCGGCCAACTGCAACACTCTAACTTGTTGTCTAAACGTATATTTGGATGCGTGGTAAGGGTGATACCGAAATTGTTGATAAAATAATAGCTGGGCATGATCTGGTAAGCCTTTGCTAGTTGTCAGTGCAATGGATACTGCCTATTTGTCTTGGCCAACTGTGAAAATATGGCTTAAACCAAATTCAATTATTACGCATTGCCAATGTGCACAACATTTCCGAATGTAGTTCGAGTATTTGCATTGAGTTTTTCGAATAATTTTGCTCATTTGAACAGAATGCCTCAAAGGCAGGAATTTGTGCGTGCGTGTGTGTGTGTGTATATGTCAGTGTGTGTGTTTGTGTGTATGCGTATGCGTGTGTTTATGCGTATGACAGTCAAAACAAATAATGACATAAACCTAATAATACCATTGTGCCATTGAAGCGATTGTTTTACGGACGGCTAATCAAAATAAACAACCGCCCATAGACACAGGCCGCTCGCTGCTGCCGCCGCCCACGACCATGGCCACACCCACACCCTCGCCCGCGCCCACACCAATATCAACAGGGCCCTACTTCAGTTAATACGCCTGTCCTTTGAATTATAAATGAGATCTAAAACTCTCGTTTAATATTTAAACAAAATCAAATCAAAAAAACAAGCAACATGAGAGGGAGAGCGGAAGAGCGAAATAGAGAGAGGGAAACCGACAGAGCTACACACGCTCAAAGACAGGCTGACAGACATGTCACTCAGTGAGTCAGCCAGCCAGTGAGTCCGAGATAGATTAAACTGGAGCACAGTGGGTTGTGCGTTGGCTACATGAGTTGGCGCTTTCAAATCGATTCAAGTTGACTGGTTGAGCTTGCACAGCCAAGAATCCGTAGGCGGAGCCGTACTCGCCATCCGAGCCATAGCCGGAGCCGTAGTCGTAGTCGCAGTCGTAGTCCAGGTTCCGAGCCGTGGCTGGTGTTTGCAGCACTTAAACTAATTTGATTTCTATTGAGGCAAACAAATAATAAATAATGAATTTACATTTCTATGCGTATGCCAGTAACCATGTCGTAAGGCGGCCAAGAGAGATAGATAGAGAAAGAGGAAGAGGAAGAGGGGGAGAGACTACTCTAGATACTTGTATGCAATTAGGGACTTAGCCTTACAATTAGTTGGCTATAATTGCAAACAGGACCAGAGACAAGTGAAAACTTCAGCACTTGACATGGTAGTAAGCGGATTATAGCAATTAACCACTGAACTGCTTGGGCTTTTCTCTCTTTCTCTCTTTATATATATATATATATATAGTTGTACATATAAGCTTCTAGAATGGAAAAACTTAAAAGCCAGTAGAGGGCAGCTGCCAGACCTGCATACTTACGTATGTACACTTTCTGTAGCACTTCAGACTGCACTCAAAAGGATTGGATAACTAAAACCATTCACACAGACAAATTTAAACGGAGCACCCGTAGCGAGAAAAGCTCAAAGAGAGCCCAACTTGAACTTACCCTAGAAAAGCAATGCAAGTGCGACAACTAAGACTGTAGTAAACAGAAATGAAATCCCTTAAAACTATATACTCGAAGAAAATTCGTGTTTGTCTTAAAAATGTAAATTCGACGATTGTTGTTTGTCGATAGTTCAATTGACGTTTATTTCATAGGAAGTTTATTAACAAGTCGAATCGATAATGATCAATTGAACCATTCAATGGATGAAATCAATAATGAAGTTCTGCAACACACTTCAAATGAAATTTTTTTTTAAGATTTCTGAGCCGACCTGAACTTATATCAATGTGAAGAGGTCCGAGCACAAACAAAGTCTAAGGACAGAAGCTACCCCATAGAGCAATTCATTCCACTACTGGACTTCAATGTACACGTCAAATGTTTAATGCACGTAGAAGGGGTTTCATTTGAGTGTTCTCCACTTTCAGAATTTAAAGCTAGAGTTCACTTTTTACTCGGATGGAGCAATGTCGGCGCTATTCTTTATTCGAAACATTGCGTGAAGACCTATAAATAAATAATGTTCGCGTCACAATGGAAAACAAAGAACAGAACGAAACGAAATGCAAAAGTCGGTTCAAAATAATTGGTGAACTTTAATATTAAAAAGAAATGAAAAAGTCTCGATCCACTAAATGGTTTTTCATATGGAATTCTTTATATGCCGTATGCAATAAATAAAATACATATTTTTACATTTTTTTCATAAATATTTGCGAGAGATTTTTTCAATTTTATGTTTCTTTTGTGAGATGAGCAAATGGAATTTTACAGTGAGAGCTGTGAGAGCCGTGTTTTCTTTTTTGCTTGCTGGGATAGTTTCATTCGAGAACCACAGTTATTATGCATGGATGGCATTGCAAATAGTATAAGTATAAAGGTGCTCTTGACCAGACCAAAATCGGTGGATAGCTGCGTGTGCTGGCTTTCAATGCGTTATCATACTCGTTCACTATGTCTTGCAGTCCGTTTGTCTCTCGCCTTATAGTGTTAATATATTTTGGATACGCCCATTGGAAGAGTGAAAAATTGAAAGTTGTGATATTTTCTACGGCCTAACCGATTTAATGGTGGGAATATACTCGGAATTTGATATATTATATATATATATATACTATAGACTCTGAGTCTGATCTATGTACATAGTCCTGTATAACTATATATACTCGTCCATATAGTCCAGTAAAACTACGCTCGAAACTGTGTATACAATGTTTAGTAGTTGGTGAGAGTTAGACCTACATTGGAGCGTCTTTCTATTCGTCTTTCGACTGTGAACGAGTATTAGCAGTCGGTAGCGCCCGATTGCAACGCTCTTACGTCCTTTCGCATGATTTTGTGGATGAGTTTTTATTATTTACAAAATGAGTTGAAGCCCGGGTAAAAGACAATTTTGATCTTGTGGGACAAGTTTACTTTATATGTATATAGAGCTCTATAAATACAAAATATATATTATATATATAGTAGCATATAGAGTAAGTAGTAATTGGAAGTGCGTATGGACAATAAACTATACAAATTGTAACGCGCAATTTAACAACAATTTCTGCATGTGACGGCCTTCAAAAATATAAAATTTAAAAAAGAAAAAATAAATTCTCAAATGCAAAACTTTGCGAAAATCCAATCAATGAAAAGTTTTTGTAGCTTTCGTTAGTTTTTTCATAATTTTTGTTTTTTTTTTACTTTGATATAAATGCGAAATAGAACTGTACAAAGCACACACACGCACACTCAGGTATACACACACATACGAAAACAGAAAAGTAAAATCAAAATATATATATTATATATATTTTGTACATATTTGAGAAATCGATTTGTATGGATGTTTTTGTTGCTGTTGTTGTAGTTGGGAGTTGATTTGAATTTTGTTTTAAATATTTGAAGTAAAGTAAAAAATATACATATCATATAAATATTGAATAGAGTTTTGCAAATATATATATAGATATATATGTATATGTAAATGTTTTTTTTTTTTGGTTGTTAAAAAATATATATATTCAGAACAAACAATTCAATTGTTTAAGAAAATGTTTTTTATATATATATATTTACACAATTTATTGTTGTTTTTTTTTAATTATTTACAGTAATGAAAACGAAGGAAAACGAAAATCAAGCAAAAATTAAAAAGGAAAACTTAAGATTGTTTTTCTTAAATTCTTTGCGGGCATTTTTGGATTTGAGTTTAAAGCTGACGCGATTTTTTTAGTTTTACTTTATACAAATCTTTTTAAAGCTTTAATTGAGTTGTTTTATTTATTTTTTTTTTCTTTTTTTGGGTTCTGTTGGGAGGGGTTAATCTGCTAATCCGCTAATACGTTTCGAGAATCGCAACTAAGTAAGTTAATTGGATTGATTTGAACGATATATATAGTAATTGGATATTGATAGCTGTAACTGTATCTTGTGAAAATTGCTTTATATATATATATATTTACATATATAAATACATATATACATATATATATTATATTTTTTTTATTTTTAAGTAGTTTCTAGTTTAGAGAGACAGTTAGAGAGTGAGAGAGAGAGAGGACCCTTTGCCATGACGGGATAGAATTTTATTTTATATTTTTTTATATATATATATCATTTCGTATGCAGAGTATTTTTGTTGAGACTATTTACAAGTTTTGTTTGTTTTTTTTTATTTTATTTTTTTCAAAGTAACTTAAAAAATTGCTTTTTAAAAACATAAATTTAAAAAATTATATAAAAAGAACTAAAGAAAAATTAAAAAAAATTAATTTAACTTTAAATATATGTAAAAAAGTAAAGTAATCCTTCAATTTAATAAAAATTTTAAAAATAATTAAAATACTCGATAAAAATACAGAAAATTGGAGAATCCTTCAGTTGTGTTCTTTTTTTCCTTTCGAATGCAAAAATTTGGGTTTTTTCAATGTTTTTTTTTTTTTGGGTTGAAAGTAAAAGTGAAACTAAAAGTCAAAGAAATGCTCTGAAATTATAATGTTAGATGTTAGTTATGTTTGGTTGGAACGCAAAGTTAAGAGGTGATTGAACAGAAGAGAGAAACAAAATGAGATATATAACTGGTATAACTGGAGATAGCGAGTTAAGAGATAGAGTTTCGTTTTTGTGTTTTGGGTTGATCTTAAGTTTAGAATTAATTGGAAAAAAGTATAAAGTTAATGCTTACAATCATTCATATCGTCATTGGATCTCATTATGTACTGATCCGATGATGATAGTCTTGAATGCCCGTTCGTATTGGGATGAGCTCCCCCCCTATGATCACTTTGTTTAATAGAGCTACGCATCGCCAGTGCAGATGGATTGTTCGACTGATGCATATACATACTATCACCTTCGCACTCACTTTCTTTATACTGCAGCACATTCTTATGCTTCTCATAGATAACCAGGCAACGATGACATCCTTTCCTAAAAGAAGTTTGTATTTTTTTGTTTGTTTTTTTTTTTTTTTTTGGGTTGCAAATGAAAAGTTTATGTTTTTGTATTGGTTTTTTTGCTTAGGATTGTAAATGATATATGTTAGTAAAAGTTTATTTTGTGTTTATATTTGGGAATATATTCTGTTGGCTTTTATCTTTTGTTGTTGTTGTGTTCGGCTTTGAATGTAAAAAGGAATACGTAAATCAGGGCTTTTCTTAACTTTAAGTTTAAGTTTGGAAAAGTATATATGATATGGATGAAAATGTTTCCCAGTGAGTCATTGAAGAAATTTTACGTTTTTCATTATTCTTTGTTTTTTTTTTTTAAACTGAATTAACATGTAGCATATAGTATATGTAAATATACTATGTGTGTGTTATTTTCGTTAAAGCCAACCCAGTTTCGATGTGGGCTAAACTATTTTCAATCGGAAGCTAAATATATGTAGATTTCGTAATATTGTTCAAAACTCATAAATGATATCATAAAAACGAACTAAAAGGACGCACACTTAAATAACTCAAACAGTTAACAAAATATATGTGATGTTTAAAAACAAATCTGTAAACATTTTAATTGAACTTTTTTCAAAATCAAAATAGATGTAGATTATATATATTGTTTTTTTTTTCAGTTTGTGGGGGCATTTCTTGTTAGTTTCCTAGTTGGTAAATGGTACTTAAGATCTATTAGACTTGTTTTTTTTTTTTTTTTCATATATTACGATAAAAAGTTAAAGGTTAAAATTAACTGAGTACACGACAAAAATACTTACAAAAAAACATTAAAAATAATATTCAAAAACTCAGATAGATGTTCAATATAAACATCCAATCGGCTTTTGTTCATTTTTTTTAATGTCAAAAACCAAAAGGTTATACACATATCAGCTACAACCAAAGAATAAACTTCGCAAGACTTAGGATTATTTCTTATAGTTTAATGTATATATATATTTTAATTGGAAACATGACAAAACGCAAAAGTTTCAAAAAAATTGTATATGATAGCAGCCCAGCATGAATTTCGTTTGCTTTTTCATAATATATAGGAAAAAACATTCAAAATTAAAATTGTTTTTTAATTATTTTACAAAAAGCAAAATAGATGCAGAGTTCAAGGTACTTTAACCTTTAAGCCTATAAAAAATAGTTAACATTTAGATTAACTGTAGAGCACTTATACAAAACAAAAACAGATATATATGTACGGTTAAATTGGCTGGATTCAGACCTAAGCTACTTGGCCTGCTCTCTGTTATTCACACGGAGACAGGGACAAAGGCAGTGATAGATAGATAGAGAGAGAGAGAGACAGAGATAACGAGAGTTCTACAAACTCGTTTCGTAGGCAAAGTTGAGAGCAGATGTCTCAATGGACAGGTTTCCAGTCTACTCTAATATATCTAACTATGCCTCCGTCTGTGTCTCTGTGTGAGAGCAACTGGCGCCCATGTTCCAGCGTTTTATGTTCCTACTTAATCGGTTTACAGCTACACTCAGAGAAAATGACGCGTGGACTAAAATTTTAATATATTTCGTGAGACTTGCAATTAAACTTTAAGGAAGTATTGAATTTACAGTCCATTTTAAATGAGGTAGAAAATACTTTTTAAAAATAAACAAAAAATATATGTTTTTATATATTTTTAATAATAAATATTAATGTTATATTTTAAACTTTTATTAAGCATCAAATTGCTTAAAGCAAAACTGACTTGATATATTTCCCTACTAAAAATATGACGACTTGAATTGTGAAGTAAATACTTATTATAAGCATTTTCATACTAAAATCTGAATCATATCATTTCAAGCTTAAAAATTGACTAATTAGCTTTTGTCAATTCAATCTCTAACTTATTGCTTTGCTATTCGTTATCAGATTTTTCTCCGAGTGTAGTGCTACTGCCTTTTACTGGCCTAGCGAGTGACTGCTTGAGCTTGGATGGTACCTTAGCAAAACGAAACTTTATTCAATTATTGCCACTTGGCGCACACTCAAAAGTCAAATGCTACAAAATGTACCAAAAAAAAAAATAAAAAAGGAAAAAAATAGGTAACATAACCTAGAAACAGGAAATAAAAAGTCGAGGGGAGCTATGACAAGCTAGAGGCAGTACAAGTTTAAGTACAAGTACTTTTTGACGCCTGTTCTTCTTTATCTGCTACTTCATCTGCTGCTTTCATCTTCATTTGTTTCATCAAGTTCATCTGCTTGAACATCTTCAACGTCTTTCTTCATTCTTTCTGTTTTCTGCTTTTCTTATTTTCATTCAATCTATTTGCCAGCCAAGCATATTTTGAGTCAAGATGTTAGCATATATATAAACTTTTATCGTCAAACTGTATTTAATGGTACTTACTCATCCACAATCAGATATTTGTTACCATCCGAGGCGGCGCACCTGCCCCGATAACTGAATTGCGAGCCCTTGATGTGTATGGATTGCTGGTAGCCAGATAAAAACCAGGAGCCCTCCCATCGAGCAGGAAATGTGCAATTTGTAGGCGCTGCAAGTCGAAAAAGTATACATATTATTAATAAGAACAAACCGAATAAACCAAAAGCCCAACGCAGTCGAATAAATTATTAATGTAGATTTTAATAGCCACATACATAAGTGAGCTATATACTTATATTCCCCAATTGCGAGTCTGTTGGGTGTGAGCAGCATGTGACCTCAATTGTGGTCCATTGTTCATTTAACGACACCAACAACAGCAATCAGAATATCAAGAAGAGCAACTTGCAACATAAAAGAGCAATTGCCCAAAAAATATATTTTAATAATAATCAAGTAATGAAGAAATATTTATAAGCAAATTGAAACGACGGTAAAATACTCTGTAACTGAAAGTATTCGGTTTTGTTTCACTGATTGATGACACAAATGAAGAACTTATTGAATAAATCAAAGATCTGTAGATTGCTTGATTGACCGACTGACTGACTTCATCATTCATTAGAACAATTCAATAAATTGATTGATTGACTAACTGATGGTTGATTGACTGATTGAACTATCAGTCATTTGATTAAGTGAAAATTGGATTCATTGACTGACAATTAGGTTAATTAGCTGATTGATTGATTAATTGATTGACTGACTAATTGATTGATCGACTTACGTAATGATTATTAGACTGACTGATGACTGATTGATTAATTGACTGACAGTTAAGTGATTGATTCCAAATTATAGCACACAGACCCCGATATCCCCTCTCATCAGCATTCGGTACTTGGTATAACAATGTACAATCTGGTACCTCACCAAAATAAATAATGCCATTGTGAACAGTTTTCGTATTTCAGTTCTAATAGTAATGTCAATTCTGATGCCAAGATTTGTGGCTTTTTAATTTATAAATTGTTTCAATTATTGTTATTATGATTGTATTTAAGTGCGTGCGCATAAGTGTCAGCTTGTAATAGTGTGCGTGTGTCTGTGTTGAGTTCTGCGTGTGTGTGTGGCTCTTAGAGACCAAAAATTTACGACCCTCTGCTACGACGCAAAGGCTCATAAATAAGTTGAACAAGCAGCAAAACCAGAAAACGGCTCGTAATAATAATAATGTCGCGCACACACAGACTCATACATACACACACACACATATATATATATATATATATATATATAATATATACACATATAAAAACTACCGAAATGGCAATTGTGAATATTAAAAAGAGCATAAAGAGAGAAAGAGAGAGAGCCAATGCATAGAGCAAGGAAAAGGAAAAAGGAACCGTTAGCTCAAGGCATGCTACACACACTTACAAACACACACACACAAACACAAGCATACACACTGAGCACAAACAATAAGTATAACCAATGCAATACATACATACATACACACATACATGGCTAGAAAATGGTAAAACCACCCTCAAATAGCTTTCTGCCAGAGTTTGTGCCGGGCTGGGCTGGGCTTAAGGGTGGACCCAAAAAACACAACCGAAGTGCCGAGTGCTCTACGCATTCAAATGCACAAAAGTCGCAAAAGTAGAGACGAATGTGCGCACGAATCAACACACACACACATACACACACACCCAGAAGCACACACACGCACACATCAAGCTATACACATTTTATTTTATTATTTCTTTGCTTTCTTTTATTTTGTTTTACTTTACTTTATTTTATTTTATTTTTTCCTTTTGCTCTTGCTTTTGTTCTTTTCCATTTCCATTTTATTTTATTTTATTTTTTTCATTTTCATTTTGTTGTTTTTCCCATTTGTGGCAAACAAAAGGTGCTCCTGCGCAGGATCAGCAAATCGCTGTGAACTCTGAGCCGCATTGAGAAGCCGCCCAGCCGCCCATCCGCCCGCTTCGCTTCTGCACCAGCTCCCCCTTTTTGCTTACTCTTTCATTGTCCAATGACTTGTACATTTGTTCAGCTACCGATGCTGTTGTTGCGGTAGCTGTCATAATGTGTCCCCCCTCCTGCTCCACCGTGCCCTGCCCTGCCTCACTTCCTCGCTCTCTATCTCTATGCTCGCCCACTCACGCACCGTGGGCGTGTGTATATAAAGTGTAGCATACTTCGCAGTGCGACCCATTGTAATTGTTTCGCCAATTTCAAGTGCCGTGCATAATGCTCCAACATGATTCAATACTCTTGCCACAGCAATAACAACAACCCCCGAAATATAGCCGCGGGATAAAAATCCAACAAAACTACACGCTAAAAGTAGAAATACAAAAATAAACGAGCAAATGGACGGACGGACGGAAGGACGACTGTTGGTATTGAGAGACAGACAAGCGTGCAAATACGTATGGACAGTTGAAATGAAGGGCTTTACACATACACATGCACAAACACAAACACACACACGCACGCATACAGGCATGCATAAAAATACTTTTTTTGCGTGGATTAGAGTGGCTCAAGTAGACAACGCAGCGCCGCCTGTTAGATTGGGCTGGTTGGATTGGCCAAATATTTAAGTAACTCGAAAAAGAGTTGCGATTGACATTTTGTTCTTATCAACTGACAATCGCCTGGCATTAAGCTTGTATCGTGGCCCTAAAACCCTTATCAGCTATATTCACGATGTTTTTTTTATTTATAAGAAGAAAAGTAGCTAAAAATGTAAAAGCAAAGCTGCGGGTCTTGAACCTAAAGCAAAATAATTATAATGAGAGCGCAAGCAACTTTTTTAATAAAAAATCAACCGGGTGCTTTTAAGTGCACGTTCATAGCGATAAAAAAGGTCATGGATTTGAGCCGTATCCCAATTTAGAAACTTAAAAAAGTAATTAATGAGTCAGAGTTAATAATAGAATAAAATTATCGAAAATATCTCATATAAATCAATTTCCAAATCATCATAAAAGTTAGACATATAATCAATCTGGAACTAAAAACATAATTAAGTTTTAGCTAGGTTACAAAAGTAGGATTTCGGATTGTTCGCGTTTTTACACGTCTCTCAAATCACATCAGATGTTTAGCAAAATATTATTATACTAAGTAAATATTACTTTTTATACCAATTTTAACACTCACGAACTATCGAATGAAAAACATCCAAGAAAATATTTAAGGACAGCATGACATTTTCAGATGTAATGTACGGAGATACGATAAGGAAAATGTTATCGATTTCTAAAACAAGTTTACTTCTAGGAAAAGTTCTGTAACCTAGTTGTGAAGGAAAACTACTATTTCTTGTTATGCTAAATATTAGAGTTAGGCTTATAGTTCAACTTACTATCTTACATCAAAGAACACTTAATTAGTTTGCCCACCTGCCAAATTATTATTATTATGACAGGCCATTTTTTGTGCAGCTACAAACAGTTGTTAAGCATGTGTGCGCTTATCTCTCAACGACTGTGTCTAGATATCTGTATGTGTAATGACAGCTTTAACGCGCTAACAGCTCCTTAACCCAATTAAAACGCCCCTCACTCCACTTCCGGAACCCTCTTGCACCCTGCACCCTGCACCTTGTGGTGGGTGTGGACCCATTAAGTGCTTGGCGTTGAGTACTATCAGGGCGCTATGCTGGACCACCCTTATTGATGGGACAATGGCTACATAACACACACACACACACGAAACACATACTCACATGCGTACACACTCACGCACACACACACACTCACAAGGGCAGCTCAAAGAGCATGACGCTTCGTTTTAGACTCATTTGCGTTTGCGTTTGCATTTGGAATTTTGGACTTTCGTTTCGGTTTTGGTTAGCAAACGCAAGTAGGGGTAGTAGGAGGTAACAGATAGAGCGGGTGGGGTTCACGTAACGCCCGAAAATGCTTTTGTCTAACTTGAGTGAATTATGGTCAGCGGTCGGTGGTCGGATGGCGGTTGCTGCCTGTTTGTTTCGGGCAATTTCCGTACAATTTGCCATTTGTTGTTGTTATTTCTGCTGCGATGGCTGTTGCTGTTGTTTTCTTATTGTTTTCAACCAAAAAATTGTTTTTTTGAATACCCTGTAACCATTGAAAGTGGTAGATTAGCATATATTTCAGTTCGAGTAGACGAAAGTAGGTATATCAGATAATAAAATCTAACAAATAACTAATCCGAAGCAAAATTATTTTTACCATCGATAAATATCGACTTATAGTCACGGTTTTCAAAAGATAATCGAAAGATTAAAATTAAAATATTAAATTGTGGCTACGGATAGTTTCTTATTTCCTTTAATTGTTCCAGAATCGATAAATATTGATTTCATGACGTTTTTGAGAAAATCTTCTTTTCTGTCAGATTTTAAAAGGTTTGAATTATATAAAATACCTCTTATTCGTAAAGTGTCTATAATCGATTTGTAATTTAGGCGTATTCAATTGCTTCAACTGAAAATACGAGTATAAATGTTGTTAAAATTTTTTGAATGTGTTTGAATTTATATTAAACCACTTGAAATGTTATTGCGGAGTAACTTCTAGTCAGACAACAATTCCTGAAGTACTCTAGCTTGTTTTTTTGGGCAAATTCGCTCATGGAGAAACAGTTGAAACGCATTATACGAGCACGCAGATCTGTGGTCACAAACTACTTATGGATTCAATTGAGCATGACCGAGCAGAGGGGCGCAAATGAGAAGAGCGTGGGTGGAGGGAGGTGGCAGGCGGAGGCAATCGCTCGTAGGGGTTGGGCGCAGACACAAGCTGTGGCAGGCAGCTGACGCTCGGCCCACTAAAAATTATGCTCAAAATTAAATGAAATGTTGTCGTTCGACAGAGAAGTTAGGGAAGAATGGCCACTTGTAAAGGGACGCTGTGAGATGGGGGTTGGGGCAATGAAGACGACGGGGGAATTGGAGGGATGGAGGTGGCATTGTGGCGCAAGTCAAATTATAAATTCCTATCATAACGCTACTTAACGGCATGCGTTACGCGCATTTTCTGCGACTTTTCGTTTTGACTCCAGCTCTGATACCGATACCCTAGCCAATCGCGTTGTAGGGTATATAAGTGTTGTGTAAGGAAGTGTTTTGTAATTCTCATTGATTAAGCAGGATAACTCTATTTAATCGATCAGTAATCGATAAGTTTCCATTAGATTAGATTTTATTTTTATGTAATATGTCTTTGTTCGCTTGCATCTTAAGGGGTATCTGTGCATTGGTCACTTATTACTCACCGTCTTGACGTCCTCCCCAGCCACTAACGGACGTGGCCAGCAGCAACGTCAGCCACAGTGCTCTCAGCCAACTTTTTGTCGACGTCATGCTGTTGCTGCCGCAGCTTCTGCCCCAACTCCTGTCAATTGTTGTTGTTGTCGCTGATGTTGTTGCTGTTGTTGTTGTTGTCGTTATATTCGTTGTTAGCGTTGTCGCATTGGCGAAGTTGCTGGCGTCACTGCTGCTGCTGCTGTTGCACAGTTGCTGCTGCCAGAATTTTAGCCACGTAATGCTAGGAAGTTGATACCACTCAGGCAGCGTCTGCTGCTGTTGCTGTCGCTCCTTCTCTTGCTGCTGCTGTCGCTGCTTTTTCTTTAGCGCTTCCTGCTCCTTCTGTTGCTCTAGACGTTCCAGCACACTAATATCACCGTTATAGTTATAGCACCTACATTCATCATCATCATCTTCATCTTCATCTTGAACAAGCTGCTCATTCAACTTCTTCTCCTCAATCGTTGTCGTTGTTTGCGAACTATTTGTTGTTGCAAGTGCTGCATCTGCTGCTGCTGCTGTTGCTGTTGTAGTTCTAGTTGCTGTTGCGTCGCTGATTGGTTTTATTGTGTCCAGCTGCGTTGCCTCTTGACTTTGTCGCTCGAATCGCATACGCTCACGTCGCTGGCGTCGCAAACATTCCGAGACGCTGCCACGGATGCTGCTGCTGTTGCTGCCACCTACAACAATTGGCATAACTAATTGCGTTGAACGTCTGAGATCGTTGCAACTAGGCGCCACGCCAAACAGAATATCACGCTGCAGGAATTTGTTTGCCAGCTTCAAAGCAGTTGCTGGCGAGGATGAGGCTGAGACTGAGGCTGAAACTGCGACTGAGACGGGGCACATTATTGCTGTTGTTGTTGCCGCTACTCCTGCTGCTGCTGCTGCTCCTGCTCCTGCGGTTGTCACCGTCGGCGCTGTGGCATGTTTATCATCATTTTTATGTTCCCTACTGCTACTACAACAAAAACAACAGCAACAAGAAGTCGTTTCCAAGGAACAGCTGCTGGACGATGCCGATGCTGCTACCGCCGCTGCTGCTGCCGCAGGCACGTGTCCACATGGCTGACAGAAAGGCGGTAAATAGATTAACGACGTGGCTCTAGCTCTCGCCTTGGACGTGGCTAAGGTCCTGCTCCTGTTCGTGTTCGCCCTCGTCCTGACTGCGGTTACTGCCAGCTGCATTTGCTGCTGCCGCTGCTCCTCCTCTTGCTGCGGCTGCTGCTGCGTATTCTGTGTGGGTTGCAGAAGACAAGAGTTGAATATTTTATGTTTATTATATACATAATATATATGTATTGTGTATGAGAGCATAAATATGAAAGAAGGTGGCAAATACTGACAATTGCCGCATTTGAATTTAAAACAACGCAGAAATTTGTTAGCTACGGCTGGCCGCATATTGAATACCCTTTCAAATCTGATAGTCAATCATCAGTCAGTCAAACAGAAATATCTAATACATAAACATGTATACACTCATGTATACATGTCAATCATCAGTGATTTAGATCAGTCTGACTACTATATATTCGTTACCCTTATCAGCCAAATTTAAACCTTTACTCAGTAAGTCAGTTAATGTAGTCAATCAACTTGGCAATCAATCGATATCAAATCATTTACTTTAGAATATTTTAAAGTTGATTGTAAGCAATTGTTTCAATACGTTACACAGTTGATGTCAAAATTATAATGCACTATACCACTTCGTATACCCTGTAGTAAAGCGCCACCGCAGCGCTGGTGTCGCTGCCTCCAGCTCAGTCACACACAAGCACATTTACATACAATATAACAAACACACACACACTGACACAGTATGTCTCACACATAGATAATCCCAAGAAAATTCATTGTTCAACAATCCACACGCACTGCGCGCCTAAGTTAAAACGATTGGGGGAATTGCAGTTGCCCCCAGAAATAAAACTTCCTCAGCGGCGCATTAAAAAGCAATAAAAATAAATATAAAAATAAAAATACAACGAGGAAAAATGAGAGAAAAATAAATATGTGCTCTGGGAAACCAAACACTCCAATCCAAATAAAATGTCCAATGGCGCGTAAATCAAAAATCACGCGCTATAAAAGACAAAAAACAAAAAAAAACGAAACGAAACCAGAGAAAAAATTAAGACAAAATTTATAGATTTCTTATACAAATTTTTTGTGTCTCCGGTGTTGCGCGGCCTCTTCCGTTATTTCTTTTTGTTTTCCTGCATTTAGCGCCCTCGGGCAGAGGGCAATGAGGAGGGGGAATCGGGTGCCAAGCAACAACATCAACAAGAGCAACACCAACAACCACTTGAGAGATTATATTTTTTTTCTGAGACGTGCCGCAGCAACTATTATAAGAAAAAACAGACTAAAATTTAAATGAAGAGAAAAAAGGAAAGAAATCTTAGACACATAATTTAAAATCGAAAAAATCGAAAAAATCGTGGCACATAATTTGTGGAATCAACCATCAAAAGAGAAGCAATAATCATGACTATAGAAAAAACATTAATTATGTATGTAAATCTAGCTAAAATGGAGCAAGAGACATTTGGTACCCTACACTCTGCTGTTTGGATTGATTGAGTGATTGATGAGTGACTGATCAATTCACACCTCAGAGTGTAAAGAACGAAAAGTTGAAAGTCGAAGTAATTTTGAAATATATTATATGCTTGACTGATTAAAAAGCGACTGAAAAGGAACGGCAGCTTTGATTGACTGATTGATTATGAAATTTAAATGTTTACTTTCCAAGGTAATTTTAGAATATTCGATAAATGATATTTGACAATCAAAGCAATTTTGGAATATTTCATTTGATTGGCTGATTGAAAAGCTGCAGCTAAACAACATTTTTGATAAAAGGAAGAAAACCGAATACATATTAAAGGGTAATTTGAAAACACTCTTTTTGATTGACAATTAATTGATGGACTGATTGAAGAAAAAGCAAGAGATGTTACGTAAATTACAGAATGAACCATAATAAAAGTTTCTTTTGATTGATAAAAATTTAACTAATTCCAAATGAAATGGAGACCAAAACCACATCGCATCGCGTTTGACTTAATTGTGAAATACTTTTCGCGCAGGCATATCAATTTGCATACAATCTTTACTGTTCATCTGCCTATGAGTATATTCAGTGGATACGAAACGTGTGCCGCACGTGAGGTAAGGTACGACAAGGTTTTCGACGGGCCTTATAATATATTTACCACAATGGCTGACGAAATCGGAGTGGTGCTGGTTAGTCAATTGAAATGTTTTTAATTAGTATAACCAATTAGCATGTTGGATCTCAATGTGAACACAAGGAATTCTAAATCAGCTGAGGTGTGGGGGAGGCGATAAAGTGTGTTGCTGGTACTTAAAAGAGCAATCGCTTCGTATAGCTTTCGAGAACATTATGCACATTAATGAGGAGTATGTGAATGGAAGTTGGCTTCCCCTGTGCATTGTATGAGGCTGCCATGGCCCAAATCAAAAGGCCAGAAAACACAGTTCGCCCTCTCTGTCAACTTTCCCATACGAGACGATGGACAGTGGGGACTGTGGGGAGGTCGAGGCAAGGAAGATATAATGCAATTTCCATGTTATGTAAGCGCTGCTCTTCTTAGCCCATCATCTATGCTAATTAAGTTAATTAAAAAGTACGAGCAAAGTATTTGCACTTGGCCAACTTCACGTCATAATCAAAGTTGAGAGAGCGCATCGCACGAAAAGCGAAGCCCAAGTCATGTCAAATGCTCTTCAAAAAGCGAGCCAAAGAAAGGCCCTGATGTAGATGCGAGCTAGAGATTGTGATGAAGATTGAGATGGAGCAGGAGTTGGGGATGCTGATGGAGAGGCTGATGGAGATGCTGATGGTGATGGAGATGGAGATGAAGCTGACGTTGTCGCTGCCATTCACACTGTAAAGTGTCCACATAAAAACCAAAATGAATAGAAGCCAGCTAAAAACCTAAAACGAGGCCAATTATAAGCTTCATCATTAATTTAAATAAAATTAAAAATCCATTGGCTGCTGCAAAAGCATAAAAGAAACAATGAAAAATCCACGACTCAAAGATACCCTGTACATAAACCTATGCTTATGCTTGCTTTCTTGTTTCGGAAAACGTTTTTATTTTATTTCAAGTTCTTTTTAATTATTTAATTTGCTCCAAATCTCTTAGAAAATAGAGTTATTAAATATATATCAATATTTTTGAAGCTACACAGCAAAAGTGGAGGCTTGAAGCAAGGTCCATTGTCCCATTTATGTGGAACTTATTTATAGTTATAACTTTTGTTATTTTATAGACGAACTTACTGATTCTCCTGAAGATATAAATGATTTAATAAAGAAAACTGTGAGAAATTGAGAAACAGAGCTGCCTGCTTTCTAAATAAATGTCTATAGGGTATACTGACAGGGGGAGAGTTGGATGGACGGACAGGCGGGCGGGCAGACAGACAGACAGCAGTCGGTGGCCAATAAAACATTTAGGCGGAATTATAATTTTGTTTGCTGCTTTATATATAATTTACGTTTAAAATGTGAAACACCTGACAGCTAAAAAACGAATTTATGTTTGCATGTTTCCCATTAATTTATTTTTCCAAAGCGCGGCAGGAAAATGCAAGGAAAGGCAAAGCAAGGCGCCTTGCCTTGCGTACAGCACAGCACAGCACAGCAGGCATTGGGAAAAGCCCGGGGAAAACAAAAAAGAAAATAAAAATATATGCAGCAGGCACATTTTGCCATCACGTTTGGACTATAAAATAGAACACAGCAGACAACAGTCGGAGCCGCAGTTGGAGCCGAAGACGTAGACAGAGCAAGGAGACGCAGACGTAGTCCGACACCGAGACGTAGAGAGTGGAGATGTAGATGATGTTGTTGATGACATGCAGCGCCGGGGCCTGCACTGCACTGAAATGGCAAAAGACGCCAAAAGCGAAAGAGACCCAAACCAAGACGCAAGTGGCAACTGGCAACTGGCAAGGGGCAAGGGGCAATGAGCAACTGGCAACTGGCAACTGGCAAGAGGCGCACAGTCGACGACTCCTGCGAAACTTGTCAAGTAAATATATAAACGAAATATGTGGCACGGTCGCCCATGCCATGCCACGCCTCCTGCGCCCCGCGTCTTGGCGTCTTGTGGCATTTATTGTTCGTTACTCTTCCGATTGGGCATTTCAATTTTGTCCGCGAATCTAAAAAAGAAACTATTAGACTATATTTTCATATATAGCCCTGATCTGCATCGTGTTGGCTTAGCCACGTCTTCTTTTCCAGATTGTGTTTCTGATTCAGATTTGTTTTTGGCACACTTAAAGATATCCCTATGATATTCCCTACATATGCTCAAAATATTATATCAAACAAATTGGATTACTATATCTTATATTTAATATAGAATCCAGGCGTTAAGCAGTTAGTTTAGTGTAGACATACGTTAAAAACTCTCTTGGAGCACATCCATGATTTTTTATATCAGCCGTATCGTTCAATTGCTATATAAAGGGTATTCAATATTTGCCAAACTCGTCTTAGAAATATTATTTCTTGTGTTTGTTTTATTTTATTCGCATTTTATTATTATTTTCGACCCGGCGAGACGAAGACGCGAACCAAGACACATAAAAAATATTTGTGTATGCAACATTTTTATGATTTCCGTCTGGTTGCGGTTGCGACAAAAGGCTGGACTCGCGCGCTATAAGGAGAGACGAAACTGGCTACCCAGCATCCATCCATCCATCCATCCATCCATCCATCCTACATGCATTTGGCACTGAACACCTACTCCACCTGCTTTCAATTAAGTGACACTTTCCCCTGCTCATTACGATTGAAATGTTGCTGTTTCACTCTTTGTTTGCTCAGAAAGGAACCGGCAATGGCAGGAGGAATCGAAATGAGAATGGTTGGTGGGGTTGGTTGGATTCCTCCCCAGCTTCTTCTGGTGTTGATGTCTGACATTTCGCTCCCTTGTCTCACTTCATCAATCATTAATTTCGTTTATTTTTAGTGAAAATAATCACTTTGAGCAACATATGCGACCCGACATGGCTTTCGCATGTGTTTTCGCAACGGGGAACGGGCCATGACAAACTGTTCCAACTGGGGACCGTGTGTGGAATGGGTACAGCTTTAAGCAATTATCAAATGGACCCACAGCAGCTCGGCAAACAAATACAATAATTTTAACTGTGAAATGACTTTATTGGGTTTTGGTGGC